GTCCTGGACAGGGGAAGGGACACCAGCCTGCACACTGGGTGGAGCTGGGTAACAGGACAATTCCCTAGGCCTTTCTGCCATCCAGTCCTCCGTTCTCCTCTGGGCCCGACATTCCTCCCAGACACATACCAGCGCACGACAGTCAAGGCTGCTCATTTGTCAGTCACTTGATCCCTCACACCTGTCCCAAGCCCAGCCCACGAGCTGCCCACCCCCATGAACCAGCTATGAATAGGGTGGGTGAGGGGTGGGGTGTTCAGAAGGCTGTGCACTGAGAGGGACAGCTGTCCTGGATTACAGCTGCCTGGGAAGGTGCTGGTGGAGCCGGATTGACCTGGAGCCCAAGGTCTAGCTGAGATACCCTGGGATGGTCCTCTGTGTCGCCTTGGCCACCTCTCCCAGATCTGTGCATCACGGGCCCAGGGCTGATTCTAGGATGACGTTGGATTCCCATCCTTCTCGATAATCTTGCTTTTTCATCAGAGCATACAGATATACAGATATTCCTTAGCTTCTTTCTGTCCTACAGTCCCCAGAAATGCAGGGCTGTGGTTGGATGAATGTTTCTTTGGGTTTTGTTTGTTTGTTTATTTGTTTTGTTTTTCGGGACAGGGTTACTCTGTGTAGCCCTGACTGTTCTGAACTCACAGATCTGCCTGCCTCTGCCTCCTGGGTGCTGGGAGCCGTGGCGTGGGCCACCACTGCCTGGCTATGCGTGGGTGTTTTAAAGGGGTCCTAGGGTAGGAAATAACGGCTGAAGAGCTGGGGTGTATTTGAGATGGAGGGCTCAGGGCGAGGTCCGGAACTCAGGAGTGAGTAACCCTGATGTACCCAGGGATGTGACCCCTCTGTCAGCACCTCCCAGAGCTGAGAAGTGGAGCTGCTACATGCAATCTTTCCTGAAAGGCCAGGTGTGCCAGGCACCTAGTGAGGTTTGCCAAGGACAGGGTTCTTGCACCCCATGGACCTTTGCCTGGGCAAGCCACACAGGCATGGGGTGCAGACACAGGAGGCTGCCTGAGGAGCTCTCTGGTATCGGGTGTTGCCAGTGTGGTGCAGAGAGAGGTCTTGTAAGTGTTATGTCCACTGATATTTATTAGTTCACTTAGCTTATATAAGAGGAGAAAAAAATAGTTTTCATGATTGCATTGCTTAGGGTAAAGTTAAGGAATAAAAGTGAATTGATGTCAAAGATATCACAAAAGCCAGCAGATGTCTCCGTTAGGAAGGGTGCTTGGCATTAACCTGATGACCTGAGCTCAACTCCTGGAACACAATATTGACTCATACAAGTTGTCCTCTGACCTCTGCGTGCACCACCCTCACGCACGTGCACGCACGCACACAAAACAAACAAACATTTTTACAGAGTGTCATGGAAGGATGCACAAGTTAGGTGGATGCTAGTGATCCTGCTGCTTAGGAGGCTGGAGCAGAAGGAATGACGGTGGAGGTCAGCCTGGGCTACATGACAAGATCTCGGCTCAAAGACACCATGAGGGTAGGGAGGGTCTGTGTGGTTAATGGCCACTGTGTTCGTCATCTGAGTATTGTCACCTTATAATGCCCTGGCCTCATCCCCCAGTGCCTCCACCTTTCCAGACAGTTGGGTCTCACGACAATGTTTTCAGACCAGGCTGACGAAGTGGCCCTCTAGGAAGGTCATATGACAGAGAAAGTGGTAGAAAATCTGGGCTCAGGTCCTTGTTCACCTCATTTGTCAGAGGAAGACCTTGGACCATGGCTGACCCACGTCGTCCTCCAGGAGTCACAGGTGCTCCTCTCCCGCCCCGCCCCACTCCCAGCTGCCCTCCTCCGCAGGATCGCGGTGGTAGCGGCAGGGTGGGGAGACAGAAAGCCATCCTGGGTTGAGAAAGGAGAGTGTTTAGAAAGAGGGATTGTTTGTCTCAGAGGTTAAACATTGGCTAGGATGCTGTTGTAATTGTTGCCTTGTTTTTCCTTCCTCCCAAAGAATGGCTCCATTTGAGCCATGCACAGTCAACTAAGACATCCTAAAAAACATTTCTTCATTTCATTCCATAATTGCTTCCTCACTCAGCGTGCTGTGTTCATCCATCGTGGTAAAGGCTGGTCATTCTCAGTAGTGTGTGCCTGGCTCTCAAAGGCACCTACACTACACGTCTTCCCTGCCACATGAATTAGTTACAGGGTAATTAACACTTCCTTGTCAGTTTACACAAAGATTTTGCTGTTGAAAGGAAGAGGCAAAGGAGAGAAAACTAGTGCTAGAGTGCCACCTAGCGGCCACGAATAAGACTGCTTGTCACTTGTGCTTAAATCTGCAGAAGAGTTTGTGGGTATCAGAACCCACATTGTGATTGGCAGCTCACACTGCATCCACAGCCTGTATTCTGGTCCACGTGGCAGTTACCTCTGCATTCTGTGGTCGATGAAGAAGCCCCCTCCATAAGAATCAGACTTCTGGCCAGTCGCAGTAGCACACGCCTTCAGTCCTAGCATTTGGGAGGCAGAGGCAGGCTGGTCTACCGGATGAGTTCCAGGACAGTCAGACCTACATAGTGAGACCTGGTCTCAAAATAAATCAGCCTGCTGTCTGTCATTTGTAGGGAAATGGATAGAGTTAGAGGTCATCACGTCAAGCGAATCAGGCCAGCCCGGCCAGGTAAATACATGTTTATATACACATATATAATAAATAAATTAAAAAATAATTCCTTAAAAACAGAACAATTAAGTTAGGGCCAGCAAGATGACTTGGAAAGTATATGCACCCACATCCGTGCCTGACGACCTGGACCTGAGTTTAGTCTCTAGGATCCATACAGCGGAAGGAGGAAATCGGTACCCAAAAGTTGTCCTTTGGTTCCACATGCTTCCTCTGGCATGGGTGTACTTATACACCTAAAATAAATAAATATAAAACACACCCCAAACAGCAGAACACTAAAAATCAAAGAGCTGAGGGGTATCTTTCTGGCAATGTTTACCAAGTTCAGCCACATAGGCATTCAGAGGACACTGTTGCCATGGTCTCTGGGGATCCAGCTACCCTTTGAGTTAGCAGCAAAACTTGCCATCACCCACTGTTTGCTGGGTTTGCCAGTGTACAAATGCGTGGGTTGCATACAGGGGCATGAAGTTCCAGAACAACCCGTGAGGCCACACAATGTATGGAAGGGTTGGGTTCTCTATAGGCATCCCTGTGCACGCTACACGTGGAGGGGGTCTGAGTTGCAGTAGAGGCCCCAGGACATTGATGATGGTGGCGATGTGCAATGTCTCTGAAGAAAGCTGCAGGTATCCAGCAGAGCCAGCTCACGGGGGAGGCCATAGCTGCAAATGGCAGAGCCATAGGGGTTGGAACGCCCAAGCTCTTGGAGTACAGATGTCACTGTAAGCCCTGGATACCCGATAAGGAGCTACAGAATTTCCTATTTACTTTGTTGAGTTGATTTTAATGTGTATCTCCGTGTATAGGTGAGCACACTTGTACAGATGCCCACGGAGGCCAGAAGAGAACATAAGAGAGCGTGAGCTGCCCAGCGTGGGGGCTGGGGGCTAAGTGCAGGTTCTGTGTAAGAGCGGCCAGTGCTCTTAACGGTTGAGTCCTTGTCTTTCCAGTGCCTGAGTTTCTTGCTGCTCTGCTTTGCTTCCGACATGGGAACGTTTACTCGGTTCCAGGATGAATGGCAAGTAGGCAGTTTTCTTACTGATTTTGCAGGGTTCATAGCTCAGATTGCCTGAGAAGGGACATTGCACTCTGGACACGTCTGACTATATGTGATTGTATTGGAAGATGGACACAACCCTTTCTGGACCAGGGGTATGCTTTGAATCTGCAGTGTCTCCCACAGACTTGCCTTTGGAATGCTTATTTCTAGCTCGTGGCTCTGTTTTGAAGGCTGCAGAGCTTTTAAGAATTGTGGTCTTACTGCTGGAAATAAGACACTAGTGGCAAGTCCTTGAAGGTTATACCCACTCCTGGTTTTGGCTCATGTTCTCTGCTTCCTGTCCCATGCCATGTGAACAGCCACTATCTCGTGGTCTTAGCGTCAGAATGGGATTATTTTGCTGTGTCTTCCCTGCTAGGAGGGAATGGGACAGCCAAGATAAATCTTCCTTAGATTGTTTGTGTGTGGTATTTAGTCACAGTGACTCTAAAGTAATTAATGCCATATCCAACCAAGAACTAATTGCCTGGCTTCCATGTGGACAGCTGTGAACTCGTTTCTCATTGTTTGGGAAACAACCAGAATTACACTGAGCCTGGATGTGGGGGATGGCAGAGGGTTTCCTATGCTTGCTGTGTACCGTGTTCTTTCTTTCTTCTTTTTCTTTCTCTTTGATCCTTCCAGGCCAACAGCCGGCTCTCCCACTGAGCTGTACCCAAGTCCTGTCCCCATTCTTTTCAAGTCCTCTTCTCTTGTCCAAGATGAAGGGATTGGTATCAGCCCAAGATACCTCAAGACCAAGTTCTCAGCACAAAGGAGATTTATTTTCCCCAGGAACACAAAGGGCAGGGAATAAGAGACAAAGACAGGAGATAGAGGAAGTGGGAGAAGGGGAAGGAAACAAGGGAGAGGGGAGGGGGAAGGGATATTTTTTTCCTGGAGAACAGATCCTGCCTCTGGAGAGAGAGGAGGCAGAGGAGACTGCCGCCCATAGGCAAAAGACAGCTGATAAAGGGAAAGGGGGAAACCTAGTGTTAGGATGAGGTGTTAATTAGGACAGGTTAATTAGGGCAGCCATGAGCGGACTTCAGATTGCTGTACTTTAATACTTTGACAGCTGGACCTTGGTCCTCAGCCTCAGGAGAAGGAAGTAGCCAAATAGGGAATAGACCTTGGGGGTAGCCTTCAGGATGTAATCTAATGATTTTTAGCAGGGCAGAGGGAATGGGGGAGAAGGGCAAAGCCTGCGAGAGCCATGTTTGTCACACTGAGGCCAGCTAGAGTCCCTTCACAAGAACCTGTACCGTGACCCCTGAACACTGCCACATCTTCCTGTTTCTCCGGCAGGCAGACCTCAATACTAACATCGACGATGAGGGCAGCGCCTTCTATGGGGTGTCCAGCCAGTACGAGAGCCTGGACAACATGATCATTACTTGTTCTACTAAGGTCTGCTCCTTCGGCAAGCAAGTGGTGGAGAAAGTTGAGGTAGGAGGCCACCCAGTGGGTGAGAGGCGAGGGGGGTGGCCTGCGTGCCCCGTTTCCCTGGAGCTCCCCTGCCCAGGTGCAGGATTGCTGAGGGTGGGGGCCCTATGTACCTCCATTACCTTCAGGAAGTACGCGTTTTGGGTTGGGTGTGAAGCATCTAATAAGTTACTGAGTTGTGTCTAATAAGTTACTGATTTAGTTGTCAATCCTGTGCCTCGGAGCCCTGGCTGGATTTTCTGGTCAGGATCCCTTTCAAGCCTTCCTTACAAGCATCCCACACCTTCTAGAGCAGGACCAATGCACAGGCTAGCCCAAGGATTTCTCCCTAATCCATCTGTGTCTTTGACAGCTGGGCCGGGGAGGGGGATAGGAATGGCCTTCCTCAGTCACACAGCTCTCTAGAGGCAGAGGCAGAATGTTCAGGGTCTGTTCGCTTCATTTTTTACTGCACGAATGTGGAGTTTGTGGGGTCTCCAGGTGTTTGGGTATCTGCTAGGCGAGTTCTCTACCATCGAGCTATACAGCCCTTTGCCTCCACAGCCCCCCATTTTGAGACGGTCTTTAGATTCCCCCTTCCCAGGCAGCCCAGCAGTGCACAGCTTTTTAGTTTTGGAGTGCCTTGGAGACCTTACACTTGGGCAAAATTCTCTGCCTCTCCGCCACTCATCCTGTCAAAGGCAGGCAGTGAGCACAAGCTAAGAGGACCTGGGTTTGATCCCTGTACCTCCCCTGAGCCCCATTTCCTGTTGTATTAACAGTCCCCACTTTTCTCTAAGGAATTACTGGGTTTTCACCACCCTCTGATCCCAATAGCTGTGACAGTCTGGTCTTATCATGTAATGAGAATGACAAAATGACCCTAAAGCCTGCGTGCACCCCAGGGTACCAGTGGCCCTTAAGTGCTAACACTGCATGATGTCAGCCTGGTCACTTCTTGACCCATGTAGGTCTGAACTGATGGTGTCCTCTCTACCTGGGGTTGACAGCCACTCATGCCAGGCAGGACCTGGGAATGGAGCTTTGCTTCCAGGTCCCAACCCTAGCTGTTCCATCCCTGGGAAGCTTTTGATACATGTTAGCTGCCCTGAGTGTAATCCAGCAGTAGCTGTGTGTGTGGTCTCTTGTTCTACTTTGATACTATAGACAGACTCCAGGGCTCACAGTTGCTCTACGTCCGCCCTACCCCCGCAAAGGCATATATATATATTTTGGTTTTTCGAGACAGGGTTTCTCTGTGGCTTTGGAGCCTGTCCTGGAACTAGCTCTGTAGACCAGAGCTGGTCTCGAACTCACAGAGATCCGCCTGCCTCTGCCTCCCGAGTACTGGGATTAAAGGCGTGCGCCACCATTGCCCGGCTCTCAAAGGCATATTTTTACAAAGCTCCTACAGTTTTGACTTTCATTAAGCTCATCAAGGTTTTGAGACGCCCGTGTCTCTATCCAGTCATCATCCAGTGTCCTGCTCATCCAGGTCCTATGCCAATAGCATCCACCACCAAGCATCGTGCGTTTGGCACTTCCACCACACAGGTGCTGGTACCCTCCCTCACCCCAGCCTCATGAGCAACCCCTGCCCCATCTCATTGCCACGACTTCCAGGTCTTTACATTGCCTTCTCCTGGAAGTGTCTGCCTGTTGTCAGTGACAAAGCGGAGAGACCTGGCTTATGTCCAGAAACCTCTGAGGACGGGCTCTGCTCCCAGGCTATCTTCAGTGGCGGTGGTTGGTCTTTTGTACATCCCCTGCTAAAATTGGGCTTGGGTAGGAGCGGAAGGGATTCTAAGCCTCTGTTGTCCCTGGGGTTCTACAGACAGAGTATGCTCGCTATGAGAACGGCCACTATCTGTACCGCATCCACCGGTCCCCGCTCTGTGAGTACATGATCAACTTCATCCACAAGCTGAAGCACTTACCCGAGAAGTACATGATGAATAGTGTGTTGGAGAACTTTACCATCCTGCAGGTATGCCCGGGGCAGGTGCCCAGGGTGTAGTGCATAGGTGGGTGGCACCAATGGCTTCTCCGCCCAGGGCTTTGACCGTCGCCTTTGTCTCACCTACAGGTGGTCACCAATCGAGACACGCAAGAGACCTTGTTATGTATTGCCTATGTCTTCGAAGTGTCGGCCAGCGAACACGGGGCTCAGCACCACATCTACCGGCTCGTGAAAGAATGACAGACTTGCAGAATGATGGTGGGGGGACAAATCCAGGAAACGGGGACCTGGGAGGGAACCTTCAGGGAGAGTCCCCGGAAGTGCCAAGAGAGCTGAGCGAAGGAACCAACTGCCTGATCTTGCAGTGCCCAACCCCCAATAAACCCGAGGTGTCAAGTGTTTTCAGAGGAGCTGGTCTGACTGTGTGAGCCCAGAAGGGCAAGGGAGAAGGGGGCACCAGGAGGCAAGCTGGAAGCAAGCCCAGAGATGCCCCATGGTCCTGGAGCCAGAACCCCAGTGGACTCAGCCAGACACCAAAGCTCAAGACCCAGTGGCCCCTCCTCAGCTGCTGGAACCCTACACTCTGCTGCTGGTCACACTCGTGGCCTAAGGACAGATGGCACGTGGGTCACACACCCAGAGAACGCAATGCGTGACCGCGTGTACTGTCAGCCGCATGGCTGCCCGAGGATAGCTATAGCAGAAGGCCCCACCCCTGCTAACAGGGCTGGGTTTAGGTTTGGCTGGAGACTGGGTAAGATTTACTCAGGTGGCCCCCGCAATGGCCTTGCAGGGGTCAGTGGTTCTAGGCTTAGGCAAGGCTTGGAGGTAGGGAGTCCCGCTTCAGGGCCATCGTTTCCAGCTGCTTGACCCTGTCAGGCTCCTCAGCTTCTCTCTAAGTCCCTTTTCCTCTCTGCTCAGCACTGGTGAGGAGGAGCTGCTGGGTCGGGGTGGCACACGTGGTAGGGGGATCTGAGATTTAGGAAAGCTAGGGCTATGAAAAGAAACCCCGTCTCCAAAACAAAACAACCCCCCCCCAAAAAAAAAAAAAAAACAGAGTAACAGGACACAGTGCCAGTTAAATGATCTGACTCTCAGCCCCTTGCTTCCCTCCCTCTGGAGAGCCTGGGTCTGGCTCTCTGCTGCCCTCTCCTGGCTTTCTGGTGTCCGCTTCCCTAGTTGGAGCCAGTTTCTAGTAACCGGGAGCCTCAGGAAGAAAGATCCAACCTGGACATGTTTGTGTGTGCCCAGAACTCAGGGATGTATCTATGGGGATGCAAAAATGGGCAGGGCAGCATTGAGGGGATGCTACAGCGGTGAGGAGCAAGGGATCTGAAATCAGTCTAGCGTGACCTTGATGTGCAACCCGTGGTGTGTCAATGTCATGGTGCCTCAGTTTCCCCATCTGTAAAATGGGTATAACATTCACCTACCTCGTGTATGATCAGTGCCTCATGAAGTGCTGAGCACATCCACATATGCAATAAATATACATTGGTACTAACCATGGGAGCTGCCGCTCCTGCTGAGGAGCTGGATGGGGGAGCTATACACTGGAGTGGGGTGATCCTACAGCAACTGCCCTTCAGATAGGAGGGAGCCAGGGGTCTCAGGGAAGAGGTAGCCTTTGAGGGAACAAGTTCTGATATTTATTGATGTTATTTCTGTTTAATTTTGGTGCCGGGGCGGAAAACCTCAGGGCTTGGAATGGGTGGAGTGACTGTGCCAGAAATATGCAAATTAAGCATATGGGAGGAGTCTGGCTGCATCTCAGATGAGGAAGACAGACAAGCCACCCAGTCTTTCTGTGGCCCCCAAATTCCCGTTTAACCCATACCTCTCCACCATGGTAGGATGGTGGCTAGATCTAGACCTGCTCCCTGCTGCACTGTGTAGAGATCCTGCTGTCAGAGGGGGGTCAAGGGTCCTGGAAAGACTACTGCATCCCTGGACCTATGATGAGGACTCCCCCCTCACATGCAGGCCTGTGTTTGTACCCCCCCATCTTACCCCCACCCCCACCCCCGTGTATGTTGCCTGGCCAAGCTGCAGCATTCTTGAAAAGTCCCAGACTCAGACATTTCATTGTGGACAGCCTCTAGGGACATGAAGGACACACCATCTTTTCCTCTGGGAAGCAGGTCAGTCCAGATGTTGGGTCCCAGTGTGGATCATGAGTTTTTCCTGTGTGACCTGACCTCAGTGGCCTAATGGAGAGTCACCATAGAAGACAGTAGTCTCGGTTGTCTGTCACTTGAGCCGGGATGGCTTTGACTAGGGCGCCCTCATCCCCGTCGTACCAGTCTCGCTGATGGTTCTGTACTGGTGCCATTGTTTCTTTATTTAGATGAGCTCGCCCTCTCTGGTCTGGGCTACTACCTCCAGTAATCCTCCTGCCTCAGCTTCCTGAGGAGCTGAAGTCCTATTTTAAGGATTAAGAAAGTGAGACCCCGAGAGCTTAAGGAAGTTGCTTGGGTTGTTGGTGTATTTTCTGTTTGCTTTGTGAGTCGTTGTTTAATTTCTGAGATGTGGCAGGCTCTGGGAGTGTGTCCATGAGCAAAACAGCCAGGGTGACTCTGAGCTGATTGTGGACTAAGGAAGGGGTGACTGGACTCAAGTTAAAGAGACTTGTAGGCAATGGGAAATGCTGGGGTTGGGAGGGCACCAAGGTTAGCTTCATAGGAGAGGCTGCCAAGGCCCAGAATCTACACTGACTCTTGAGCCACAGTGGATCCGAAGGAACATTGGAGACAGGGAGGGGATGGGTGTGCCCCAGGGGTATGCCGAGTGACAGAACTGGGATATACCCCAGCCAGCACGCCAGGTAGATGCCAGGTAGGTGGTGTCTCTTGTGTCGCCTGCACTCCGCGTGTGGATGTACACTCTGGAGTTCTCACTGGGTGGGAGCAAGGCCTGGAGGTGTTAAGCAAGGGAGTGCATTCCTTTGATACTATTTTTAGAGAACAGCCCTAGAGTCTTTGGAGTCTACAAAGGAGCAGGTGTGATTGCTGCTCTTGAACCCACCCAGCATGCTTCCCTGGGCATTTGGGGGGTGATCCCATCCAGCAATGCTTCCCTGGGCATTTGGGGGGTGATCCCATCCAGCATGCTTCCCTGGGCATTTGGGGGTGAACCTACCCAGCAATGCTTCCCTGGACATTTTGGGGGTGAACCCACCCAGCATTCTGCCCTGGGCATTTGGGTGAACCCACTCAGCATGCTGCCCTGGGCATTTGGGGGTGATCCCACCCAGCAATGCTTCCCTGGGCATTTTGGAGTGAACCCATCCAGCATGCTTCCCTGGGCATTTTGGGGTGAACCCATCCAGCATGCTTCCCTGGGCATTTGGGGGTGATCCCATCCAGCATGCTTCCCTGGGCATTTGGGGGTGATCCCATCCAACATGCTTCCCTGGGCATTTGGGGCTGGAAACCATTAGTTTTCTAGGTCTGTTCTATTTGGCAGCCGTGTGAGAGAACAGGGAGAGTAGACCAGAGAGGGTCACCCGTGTCACCAGGCCTGCGAGATGAGGAAGGGTCTAGGAGCCAACTACGCTGGGAGTGAAAACCCTCCTGGCGTTACTTACTTAGCAGGAAATGGCAGAAATGGCAGTAGGTGGGAGGTTTTCTGCTTCACAGGGTCTGACACTAACAGCAGATTGTAGCAGCAAAGTGTCAGAGAATGAAAGGAATGTGTCCTGACCAGAAAAACAAACGCAAGCACAAAGACAAAACAAAACCCAAAAAAACTAAAACAAAACAAAAACACCCCCCTCACACACACACATACAAGGAACTAGTATTTGTGTATATGAGTGTGCTCCAAACCCACAGGCGAAGGGCCAAGATCTGGTCTTACATCCTTGGTCTGTGGTGTACCCATTCTTTCCCAGGCTGGGGGTTGAGTGCAGGAGGCCTGAGGGTAGGCGTGCAGGAGGGAGCTTTCTGAGACCTCGGCCAGCCAGGCACAGAAGCGGGAGAGAACTGTGTGTTTCCCTCGGGTTCCACCCAGCGGCTGCCTGTGTGCCACTCCTGCTGAAAACCTCTTCTTAGAGCTACAGTAGTAAGGGGGCATTTTGGATAATTTAGAGGTTAGAAAGAAAATTGCCTTTTCCTTCAAGAGTTGACTCTAGATGGGATGTAGCTAACTAATATGCCCAGTCAGGTGGCCAAGTGCACACCTTTGCTCCCCGCCCCAACATACACTCAGGAAAAGACTGAGGCCAGCATGAACGGTGGAACCCGATCTCTGAAATAAAAGTCCTTTGAGAAGTGTCTGGAACTTGGCTTTTGTATATATATCCATGGGTAAGAAAGGACAGATGGGCACGGGCCTTCCTAGCGAGCCAGAGCCCAAGCGGTGGAAATGGTGGTTTTTTACACTCACAGATGTCTGATATTCGATTTTAAGGCTTTTGTATTTTTTTCTATGTAAACCCCCTTCATCTCTTCAAATCTTCAGTAAAGTCTGTTACAAACCCAGAGGTCTGCGTGCTCATCATTTCTCTGTACAGGACCGTACATGAGCGGTGCACACTGGGACTGGCCCGTGCTGAACCAAACCAGTGGGAGCAGGACCTGAACTCAGAGCTGAAGAGTTCAGATGCTCTTGAATAGGGCATGGTAAGAGGCTGCCCACCTTCCCACAACACTCCCAAGAACTAAATTCTCATCAGTCACTGAGCTAAACTGAACTAGTTTGGGGTTCAGAGAGGGCTGATACAGAAACCCCACCTGTACCTGCTGGACACTTTGCTCCCCATCTTGATTAAGGAGGCAGGAGGCCTTGCCTGGATGGCAGGGCCTGCCTTTCAGTGGGCACCATCCTCCCTGGACCAGACTCGGGAAGGACACCCAGATTCTCACTGGAGTTGGGAGCTGGGTCATTACTGAGAGGTGAGTTGGGGCTAAGAAGAGAAGCTGTGGCAGCCCTGTGCTGAGACACGGTGCGTTTACAGACAGAGGAGGAGAAGGAGCAGGAGTGTGATTTGCTCTCAGTAGTAAAGGAGAGGTTTGGGGGCCAGGGGAGGCCAGCTGCTACTCACAGGGAGATGAGGATAGAGAAGTGACCACTTCTGACAGAGTCCCCTGCCTCCTTTTCAAATGACAGGACTAGACCCCTCTGTTTTTATCTAGACGTGTGGTCATTCTTGGTAAAACCGTATTTCCTAGTTTCCATTGCAGTCTGAGGTGGTTAACTGACTTAAGTTTGGCCAGTGGAGGTAAGTAGAAATAAAATTTCCAGGAATAACCTGAAAGGGAGAGGGCATGCACTTTGTTCTGAGGAGTTATTGGGAGCGTGCTGTAATGTAGCACAATTAATAAAAACCCAGAGACAGAAACTGGGGTTCAACCTGAAGGTCAGAAAAGCAAAGCAGTCAGCCTCTGGCTCTTACCTTGACCTGTCCAAAATGGCGAGCCTGCCTCCAGGAATCTCAGAATGAAACTGAGCTGAGAGCTGTCTCCTCCCATCTTATATTCCTCTCTAGTGCTGGGACTAAAGGCATGCACCACTACTGCCCAGCTTCTATGGAAAACTAGTGTGGCTACTGGGATTAAAGGTGTGTGTCATTGCTGCCTGGTCTGTAAGGCTGATCAGTGCAGCTGTTTCACTTTCTGAACTTCAGGCAGCTTTAATTACTTAAATACAAATGAAATATTGCACACTGTAATGGCCAGTTTTTTTGTTTTTTTTTTTTTTTTTTTTTTTTTTGGTTTTTCGAGACAAGGTTTCTCTGTGGTTTTGGAGCCTGTCCTGGAACTAGCTCTTGTAGACCAGGCTGGTCTCGAACTCACAGAGATCCGCCTGCCTCTGCCTTCTGAGTGCTGGGATTAAAGGCGTGTGCCACCACCGCCCGGCTAATGGCCAGGTTTTGTGTAGCTACAGTGGACTCTGAGATGACCTTAGACGGGCACAAGCTAGAGCAGAAACACACAAGAGTGTTACCTACCTCGAGTAGGTTTCACATGAGGAATGAAGTTTTCTGTTTGCCCCTTTCATTGTGTCTAGTTTTTTGAATTAGCAGCCAAACTTAATTCTAACACACAACAGTATTCAGTCTGGGAGCAAAGTTGGAGGCAACAGAGTTAAGGCATAAAGACGACGACCATGATGATGATGGTGGTGATGATGATGGTGACGATACCTACCTACACCTTCTGAGGCAAACCTGTCTCCTTCCTTAGCCCTCCAAACGCTTGCACCACAGGCATGCGCCACTATGCTCAGCTTTTCCTCGCACTTTTCAGTGTATAAAACACTTCTGAAACCTTCTCTTGCTTGATGCCCACGGCTGCACTGTGCTCCTGCAGGCCGTTCTTTTCATGGATGAAGAGGCTTGGGAAATCAGTAACTAACTTCAGCTGCTCTGGTTTGAGTGAAGTGTCCCCACAGGCCTATGTGTTTGAACACTTGATCCCCAGTGGGTAGCACTGTTCTGGAATGTTCCAGAACCTTGCTGGTGCCAGTGCCCTAAAGTCAGCCCTTGAGAGTTCCAGGTCAGCACACTTCCCATGCTCTCTGTGTCCTGATCGGCGCGGAGGTGACCAAGCTACGTCACCAGCTCCACAGCTCCTGGCGTGAGCAGTTCTTGTGACCGCAACAGACTGTACCCCCTCAGACCACACCTCACTTCTTCTCTTTGGTGTCTTATCACAGGGACCGGAAAAGTTACACAACCTGGCAAGTACTCTACAGGCCTTTCCACCTCCGCTTGGGCTGGCTGCTCAGCCCAGCTCTTGTGTCTCACGAATGCAGGTGGGCTGATCACGGGTGGTCAGGGCTTGCCTGAAGCTGGCTGGGACAGGGTGGAAAGCCCGGAGAGGATATAGTTTAGAGGTGGGAGCAGTTCAGCAGTACAACATTTGCCTAGCGTCTGTGGCCCTGGCTTGCATCCAAGGAAACAAAATAAAAAATTAAAGCAAGATGAAGAAAGCAAATTTTTATTTTTCTTGTACAACAATCACCTTGTGGCTAAAGCAAGGGAGTGTGGTTCACAAGAGGCTGTGGAGAAAAAGGGAGCAGATGACCAGCTCCGTGGGAGGGAAATGTGTTTGCCAGTTGGCGGGCTCACAAGCCCATCCTAGACATAATCAGAAGTCCCCGGATGCTTAGCCCGAGTCTGGGGAGTGTCTTATGACCGTGCCTTTTTTTAGGGATTAGGTTTTTTCAGTCCTCCCACCCCCAAGGTCAAGTTGGGAATTAGGAATTTGCCACCATATTCTCATTCTGTCTTTCCCCTTCAGTAACGTTGTTTTGAGACAGGATCTCACATAGCTCAGGTTGACTTCAAACTCACTATTTAGCTGGTTAACTCATGACCCTTTCAAAGATGGGGATCATAGATATGCACCACCACCATTGTCCCCAGTGACATCTTTGCTGATATCTTTCCAGTTCCTTTCTTGAAACGTAGCCCCCAGTCCCGACACTGACATTGGGGATTGCGTATGCCCACTCTTAGGGTGTGCATTGACGGAGGCTTAGAGCTACTCACCCAGGTTCTCCCTGCCCTTGTAGCCAGCCATGTGCCTCCCACTCCCATATACTGTCTTCCTTCGCTCTGAGAAACAAGGAGCCCTAGGAAATCCCGTTCTGTCCAGTCCTCTATGGCTCTATAACCTTGACGTGCTGGAGGGAAGCACATTAAAGCAAGCCTCAGATGCCTGCTCCCAGTTGGCCGGGGCCCCTCCCCACTGTGATCTGCCCACTTGCTCTTTCCCTTCATCTCTCTGGTCTGGGATTCCTGGCTGTGCTCCCTGGCTTTGATATCTGCTGCTGCGCTCTCTGGTTTGGCAACTCACCATGTTCCCCTTGTGATTTTGGGGCCTCTGGATTTTATTGGTCAGCCTGCTGCTGTGTCCCCTCCTCTGGTTTTATGTACCCTACTTGGCCTTTCATGAGGAGCATTCCCTCTGGTTTGGACTCTGCAGAATGCTATGGCTAAGCCAGGATTGGAGGTGGCCTTGCAGTGGCCTGTGGCACCTTAGCTCTGCCCTTGGCCCTAGCTGCCCCTTGAGGAAGACACACATGCAAGGTGCATCCCATAGCCCTTTCTGATTGGGCCTAAGTGTCTGACTCACTCCAGCTGCTAAGGATGTGGCTGCGCCCCACCCACATTCCCTGTGCAGGCCCAAGCCAGTTTTCTTATTAACCAATGGTATTCGCAGCACACAGAGGGGACTCCCACATCACTTCACTCACAAATGGCTGCCATAGCAGCTGTCCCCTAACTAGTTTTATGATCTGTTCCCTGTTAGATGATTGGGCACACACGTCAGCAGAAGAAGTGAGCCAGGAATGACAACAGGCCGAAGCTCTCCTTAGACGAAGGCCCAACTGTTGTACCATGTGGGCTGGTTGAGCTGAGAGCGATTCCAGGCCTTGTTACCTGGCAGGAAAGAGCCTGCATGTACCCAGGCGGCCACTGGTGAAGGGCAGCCACTGCCGGGGCTTTTTGGTGAAGGATGGCCACTCCTTATGGGACTTGTTACTGTATGACCTGGGACTCCCTGGAACTCTAAGGTCTTACTACCCTCCCCTGTTCTTGGAACTTTACACCTTTGGGTGACTCCTAAGCATGTTCAAGTTTGAGAAGTCACTGGGGTGGACTTTTCACCAAATGAGAAAGCTCCACCCTCAGGCTGTAGTGAGGCTCAGTGATTTCTTCTTGTAGATAGAGCAGGGGGCTGTGTTGTTGGTTGGTTTTAACTCTTTTTTTTTTTCTTTTTCTTTTTCGAGACAGGATTTCTCTGTGGTTTTGGAGCCTGTCCTGGAACTAGCTCTTGTAGACCAGGCTGGTCTCAAACTCACAGAGATCTGCCTGCCTCTGCCTCCTGAGTGCTGAGATTAAAGGCGTGCGCCACCACCACCTGGCTCTGGTTTTAACTCTTTAGGGGACCTGCCACCCAGCTCCCAAATAAAACACATGGAGGCTTATTATTCTTATAAATGTCTTAGTTTGACTTTTGATTTGTTTCTATCCAGCTTTTTTTATCTTTTTTGTTTGCTTGGTTTTGTTGTTTTTTGTTTTTCGAGCAAGGTTTCTCTGTAGCTTTGGTTCCTGTTCTGGAACTAGCGCTTGTAGACCAAGCTGGTCTTGAACTCACAGAGATCCTCATACTTCCGCCTCTCTGGGATTAAAGGTGTGCACCACCACTGCCCAGACAGTTTTTCTTATCTTAATTAATCCATCTCCCTTTTGCCTTTGGGTTTTTACCTTTCTCTTACTTCTGCAATCTTACTTTCACTCCTACTCCCTAGCTGGCTGGGTCACTGGGTCACTGGGTGGTTGGCTGGGTGGCTGGGTGGCTGGGTGGCTGGGTGGCTAGGTTGTTGACTCCTAGTGTCCTCCTTTCCTTGTTCTCTTGTTCTTCCTTCTCTCCTCCCAGATTTCTCCTTCTATTTATCCTCTCTGCCTGTTAGCCCCACCTATCCTTTCTCCTGCTTTGCTATGGGCCAGTCAGCTCTTTATCAG